TCCAATTTTTACCTTGCCTGATGATCCTAAAGAGAAGCAAGCACACATTATCAAAATGGTATTAGATCGCTTTTCACGTTTATCATTGAAATACAGTAATAAATATGGTGATTACTTTACTTGTTCAAAGATATGCCCCATATGTAATAAAGACCATAAAAAAGAAAATATAAGAAATAATATAGAGGGTGAATGGGGCAGTGGTGATTATGTCAATACAAAAACTTATCGTCTCAAATGTTGGGGGAATTATCAGAATTCAACCCCAATAGTAACAGTAAAAGCATAGTTTAATAGTAGAGCCCATTTGCATGATCAGTTAAAAAAAATGGTGAGGTCACTGGACCCTCTTTCTTTATTTCATAAAAATTGTTGCCCAAACAAACAACAATAAAATACAAATAAAAAAATATCATTATACAATATATCACTATTATATAATTTTATTAATCGTCACAACCAAAAGGTCCTTCATTGGATAATCCTTTAATTGAATCAGAATACGATAAACACCATTGCACATTATTGTAAAAGGGATTTCTTATCTCCTCAAGATCTTGTTCGTAATAGTCATCATATTCATCATAATTTGAATAACCTGGTTCAATTAATAGATTTAATGATTTTTTAAACTTTAGGTGTATGAAAAAGGTAGACAGAATTTTACTTACCACGACTTTCGTTGGTCTCAGAGACGTTACTATCATTGGTCTTAGGGGCGTCACTTTTGTTGATATTGGAGGTATTATTATCGTTGGTCTTGGAGGTGATATTACTGTTGGTCTTGGAGGCGTTACTATTATTAGTCTTGGGGGCGTTATTACTGTTGGTCTTGGAGGCGTTACTATTATTAGTCTTGGGGGCGTTACTAATGTTGGTCTTGGGGGTGGTTTTTTTATTACTGCTCATTTTTCGTTCCTAAATATAAAAAATTATAGTAAGTAAAAATTCGTTTTCACAGTTTGCGTTAAATGAAATAGCACATTAAAAATAAATTACGGGCAAATGGATCAAGTAAAAATAAATATGAGCAGAAAAAAAAACGTTACTGGTAACCCACCTTACAAGATAAAAACTCGCCAATTTTATATTGCCTCATTTCGTATTACATAACAGACCCAGGTACAACATACAGTACTATTGCTTCCGAAATAAGAGGCGAATCTACGATTCATAATCTTTCGGATCTAGATCTGAAAAAAAATAATTACGTTACCCTAACACAATACCATGCCACACTTAACAAAGCAACTCTGCTCGGTCATAGGTTCTAAACACTGAACGTATTTTGCCGTTTTTCTGGTGAAATTAAACCCCTTATAATCGACGATCTCTCCTGCGATGTAAAAAAAGTCAATGATCCCGACGATCTGGAATTCCAAAACCCTGCAACATATGAATTTGGATAAAACTACTGATTAAGAACGTTATACTCATTACCCTTATAGCCTTTTAAAGTCCCATTCTTATCGCGGGATCTTATATAAGGTAAGGAAAAAGTTCTAGAGCGCGTAGTTATTAACTGTTAATCAAAAATCGACCGTGAGAAATGATTCTGCAGGGGAGTGACACCGCATAAAATTTAGACCCGAAGGGTCATTGCAAAGCAATAATGCAGGCCATTGATCATTAAAGCCGGTCAAATTTTTATCGCACATTCGAACTGATAAACCTGAATATCTATCGTTATCATAAAAATATAAAAATATTAGTTAACTATACTCCGACAGCCTCTGGAGGCCGTCGGGGACACAAAATTTATGTGATAAGTATTTATGCGGACCCGTGGGACCGTTAAGTCATATGATAGCATGACAGAATAAATTCGAAATGATCTAACCACTACGTAGTTGTGTTAAAATAGCACACACGTATGTTTACTAAAATTTCATGAATACGTATTATTAAAATATAGATTCTAGATAACTGCTGTTAAGTCACCATTGAACTGCTGTTGACTTTTTCATAATAAACATATATAAAATTGTCTAAGCCACTGTTGAAGTGCTGTTGAAGTGCTGTTGAGACATACTGATAATAGTAATAAAAAATAATTTATTATCGTAACATGAAAAACATATACACGGACCCGTGGGGCCGTTAAGTCATGCGATAATACTTTATTTTTTCTGGAACAAATGTATGAATTCTCGTGTACCCAATTTATTTCAGCATGGATCGGTGCCGAGAAAAGTCCCATGATTTGATGACCATGAGATTATTCTTAATGGCGGGGTAACAAATGCGATGCTAGATGTTTGATCAACATGCTTTGATATTTTTGTTAGTGTATAACGGTTATTCTAAATTTGTAAATTGGGCTTAAATATCGATATATAGCATGTAAAATTATTACTGTATCACATGTTCAATAATTGTAGTGCCGAATTTAGTAAACAATGCACTTTGGTTAATTATTGTTTTGTGATGTATAAGACAATAGTATCCCTTTTATATAAATTTTTCAATTTTTGATTTTTTTTACCGATATTCCACCTTCTCACACTAGATTGTTTTTGTGTTGATAAGATGATTGCCAGAGCTATTTGTACGAGTATGCTTAGTCAAGCAAAAAATTTCATCTCTTAATATTGAGCGATATGGCCTCTGACTATGTGTGTTGTGAGATTGAACATGCTTATAATTACTGTTTGGTAGCTCAGTACTTTGGTGAAAGTGATTGTTTGTTCCATAAAAAATATGTTATCCTTTATAGAATAGTCTTCTCAGATGCAGTCATAACCTTTCGAGGTAGGCTTAGGATTCGATTGTTTCCTCCCTAATTTTTTTTTCTTCACTTATAGAGGATGTGATCATCGCTATCATTGTAGTTTGAATGTATCCACCTTGAAATTTACATAAACACAGCATTTTCCTTTATCCTGGGCGTGATCGTCATCCTTAATGTGGGGCGTGTATTAGGGGGAAGGTGACGCAGACTTCCTAAACAACTGAACCACACCACAGAGAGTGATTGAATGTATCTATCAGAAAAATTTATACACGAAATTTAAAAAACTTGTCTCATTGCTTTGCAATATCTTACCAATGTTCTTATATCATCGTCAATAAGTAAAGTTATACTTAACTAGAACTGTAGAACTAGGTATATACTATTTTTGATTTGTTAGCATTTTAGTTGCTTTTGTGTCGTTTTTCAGATGAGAAGTTTATATATTATTGAATCTTTAATATAAGTTATTTCGAATACACAAAAATGAATTTGGTTTTAATTGTATATATCATGCCAAATCTCATAGATCTAATAATCTTAATATAATATTTATAACTGTCTAAACAGTATAATATGTTAAATCATCAAATATGTTAGGTCTTGTTATCCCTACTATTATTGATAAAAAAGCTAAATCAATGAAGCTCATTAATAATAGACTGGGATATGATATGAGGTATGTAGAGTCATATATCTATAATTATTGTAGCATTAATAATTATCAACGATTCTTTGATAATCTCTTCGAGGTTGAAAGACAGTATGATACTTTATCAATTATTTGACCACATGAAACTCCAAGAGAATGGGCACTCAGAGTTCGAATTCCTTTACAAGAGCTAGTCTCTGAGAGAAAAAGGAGCGTTTACCATACACATGCTCTATTTCTAGCATTTGGTAAGGGTAAATTTGTAGATCATGATTACTACTGACCTAGAATTCATAAAACTTGTATGGCAATTTGTTTCGATTGTTGGAAATTGATTCAAGTTAATGATGAGAAGCCAAAGAAGGTATATGCTAGTGCTATATATAGATATATTGAAAGACTTGAACCAGCAGATTTGATGAAGCAACATTGGGATTATTCATGTAGCAAAGCTAAAACTAGAAATGGTTCAGCAAGAATTATTCAAAATGCTTGAAGATGATTCAAAGAAAGGGACCCATCAAATGCACAGCTTGCCTGGTTGAGTTTACCGAATGATAATATTCCAGAAGATAAGAAGTTTCTAGGTTTAACGAGCCATGAAGTGAAAAATCCTCAAACCCAAGAACAATTTAATCAGTGGCATACTAAATGGATTGAAATATATAAAAATAATTATATGATGTGCAGTTCCATTATTATTAGACAATATGAAGAATATTATATTCCATATAATTGGATAGATTCTAAAAAGAGTCAATTGCGGATTAGATTCCAAAAGTGACTTTTAGAGATAGAAACATAGTATTTATTCGATTTATTAATTCCTTGCGGGTACAAAATACCTATACTATTTATATAATATTTTTTGGCTGTGCTAGTTCTACTGATACTCTTAAAGACATAGATAGGTAGTTGTCCACCGTTTTCTTAGAGGCAGAGCCTCATTCCTTTGCAATAATGCTATTCTTGAGATCACAATTGAGAAATATATTATGAAATTTCTGAAATAGAAAATACCAATGTGAAATAAAAATCTATGAAGTGGGTAATATATTTTTTATCTTGTGCTTTTGCCATAATTCTATTTCTTTTTGCAAATCTAGTAGAGTATCAAACCTTAGCCAAATTGCAAGTAAATCATCCTCAGGCCTATCTAGATCAAATACAATAAATTTGCCTTTGCGTAAGTAGCTATTAATAACCATTGATGCATTTTTTACGTCATCTGTATATCTACGAATAATTTTAGAAACATCTTCATATGAACTACCAGAATTAAAGAGTACTAAGTAATTAGCATTTTCACATATGAATGTAGTGATTTTATGATATTTCTGTGCCACAAATATACATGAAATATTTCGATGTCACCCATTTCCAAAAAATTGGCCAATTCGATTCTGTATATGTTCTGAAGTGAGACACAAATCCTCAAAAACAATTGCTGTACTTTGTTCAGATGAAAATGCTTTTACACTAGGAATTTTTTCTGATGATATATAGCTAAATCGTATATTTTCATAGTAAGGTACTTTTGGGTCTTTTGAAATTATGCCATACATATATCTAACGAATGCCCATTTTGGCTCATCAGGATGATAACCACAAACTATTAAATCATCACAAGAAATATATCTCCTACCGCCTTTTTTTCCTTTATATATGTATTCAGCTTTATCACCTAGAAAAAGATTTGTTAAGATATTAGTCTTACCTGATCCACTTTTTCCTGTAACTATCATTCTAAAGGGCCATGTTGGACTAGCTGGATGAGATTGACAACGAGATGCAACATGTTTATTAGCTTCGTCCATATCCATAAGGAATAGTTTCATAGGAGGTATTTTTGAATTTTTTTGCATGGCAGATTGGGAATCCATAACTCTGTTTTCTATATACTGGATAAAAATTTTCTTTCTCCCCATAATTCACTTCACTTTGTTCGTTCATAGTCGGTTTATATATTCCAGAAAACAAATTACCGGAGGTGGTCATACTGTAGGTAAAATCTGGCTTCGAGTTCAAAGAACAAGAAGGCGGGGTTGGGAGAAAAATTTGCCTGTATATATATCATATAATTAATAATATTATCAAGGCAAAAATAACAAACTTAATAGGAGTAGTTTGATACTTATTAACCATGCTAGCACCTAATGCTATAATAGATAATTCCTTACTCTTTCCTATTGTAATATTATGAGATCTAATCAGAGTCATATTCTTTATCTCTTGAAATTGGTTTCCTGCATTGATTGGTTGTAATATATTATCTTTATTATTTTCGTTAATAATAGTTTCATCACTTACCTTAGAAGTAACCTTAGTATCGATTTTTGAAGATTCTAATATTAGAACAATTTTATCATTGGTATGAGTCGGTATATCAGTGCTAATTTTTTCGACTTCGTTCATAATTTTTCTGCGTGCAAAATATTGACTGAGATTTTTGCTAGTTTCACTATCTCCACCAACTACAGATATCAAAATATCCTCTGATTTTAGACGCTCAAGCTCACTGACCTTAGAATCTAATTCAATCTTTATATTCACCAATTCAGCTTTGAGGAAGATTATCTCAGAATCTTTTTTTGATGAGTATTTCTGAGTTAAAGATAATTCTTCTTTCAATGATTTAATTCTAGATTAGAATGAATTTGCTTCTTCTAACTTACTATAATACTTGGCTTTATACTCAGTAAGGTTGGTATTTTTGCTTTTCAACTCTTTAATTTCTTCTTTGAGTTGTTTTTTAATCAAGTCATTTTGATTTTTGTCATTAATGTACTGATTTAATTTTTTTTGAAGATGTAAAATCTTGTCATTTTTTTTCTCTAGCTCTTTAGTAATTACATCAGATCGCACTTCTGCAAGAGCTTTAGCATTTCTAAATTCAGAACATTTATTAGCGAAAAATTCGGTTTCAAGAAGCAACTCATTGCATTAAGATTCAAGTTCACGTTCTCTACTATCTAATTTATATCCACATCCTTGAAAATTTTTGGCATCAGTAGATTCACTATACAAAGTACGTATTGGTGCCATATAATCGAAAAGAATTATGTTCAAAGAAAAAAAACTAATCGCAATTTGACTTTTTACTGATTATGAATAAAAAGGAACCCAGATAATAATTGGTATTTAACTAGGCAATAATTAGGCGAAAGTTAGTAATTAGCTGGGCAAAAATTGATACTTAGCTAGGCATAAAATAATAATTAACCAGTTTTATATGAAAATAGATCTATAATCAAGTCAGTACTAATTATTTCTCAGTTTTTGTCTGATTAGTGTCTGATTATTGTCTGATTATTACTCAGTTTTTATCCAATTATATACTAGAAATGAATAGATATTTTCTTAGATTTAAATCGGATATTTTTTTAATATCATTATATATTTTTCTAAAATGATTAAAACCAAAGGTAGATCTCGAGTTCGACAATATCTTAACCCTATTGCTACTCCATTAACTCCTAAAGCAATCAAAAAAATAAGGGATGCTCATGCAAAACAGATACCAAATAGAAAACGCATTATGTGTGCTAATTATAAAATTGGTAGTGAAAGATATAATGATATTGTAAATGGCCGGATATATTCTCAACCACCTGAAATAGAAATAACATCTATGAATTCATCTATCTCAATACCTCAACCAGAAATCTTGCCCATACATAGCTTATCAAGTGCCAGAAATCCTAAGCAAGTAATTTCTTTGAGCAAACTAGCAACAAAAAAGACTAGCAGAAAAAAGAAAGTCTCACAGAATAAGGAACTTCCTAGTTCTAATATTGATAAGACAAACTCTGGTATAGAATTATCTAAAGGTGGAGATCGATCAGAATCAAAAACTATAAATCATTCTATCACATCAATACCAGAGAGTAATATGCAAGCTAGAATGGAAAATTTATGAGAATATAAAAAACAGCTTCAAGCTGAATTTTGAAATTGTATCAATTCTTTTTTAAGATATTCTGCATAATCAAGAGCTCTAATAAATTCCTTTTTAATAATTGCTTTATTTTCTAGATTTTTCATATCTGATATGATTTGAATCTTGGAATGGAATTCTAATCTGTGAAAAAAATCGATTTGTTTATCAGAATCTATTATGTTTAAAGCTATATCAAGCCATTCTTCAGTCTTTATAAGTCGCTTTTCAAGTGCGTCATATTTTTTTTTAAGTCTTCATCATTATGCATATCTGATGTTCGTTGCTCTGGTTCACTAACTCCTGAAGGCTTACTAAAAGTTGGGATAGTGTAAGTCTTCCCATGTAACTTCATTCGAAATTGGTTTTTACTAGGGTCAAGAACACCATGAACCTTTCGAATCCATGTCATACCTATGCATAGCATTGGCTCAGATTCACCATTATTAATATGAGCAAAATTTCCAATAGACGTAACAATCTTATCATCTTTGTCCTTTACACTAATTGGCACATCTGTATACTATCCTAATGATTCAGATATATGTTTGGAATTGCCCTTTATAGCAAAGTCAGAAGGCTTATCAGCTTTCCACCTCAGGGCGTTAATTGTTGCATCATTCACTCCCCCAAATTCACTTGCGCTATCTAAAAAGGAATTAGTGATCAATAGATCATTTATATTACAATGCAAGTATTGCAATGACGAAAACCATTCATCTGATTTTGATTCTTTTTTCTGGACTATATGAGACTGACACATTTTACGCATTGCCAGTAAAAGCTTTGGTAATAGTTCATCATATGTTTCAGGCTGACTAAGTTCTGGAAGTATTTTTTCATTTACCGGTACTTGTTTTTTTTTTCTAACTGAGATGGAGCATGCCATCTATTCTCTTTCTCATTATATTCACCTTCACTATCCTCATTATCATCTGAATCGGGAGATGCATATTGGGATTGGGAAGGTATTAGAGGAGGAAAGTATTGATGTGTTAAATTTGATTTAGCTACAGGTTTTTTGGATTGATTTTCAAGCATCATCCTCCCAAATTGAGATGTCATTTGACCGATTTCATCTACTTTCGATTCTATTCTATCTATTCTAACATTCTGGTTTGATAAATATATTCATTCCGGACAAGGTTTTTGAAAAGGCTTTATAGGATAATTTCTCTCTAAATCTTCTGTACTAAATATACCTAAATTATTTAAATATTGTGATAAACGATAATTTTCTATACCTTTTTTCGTTTGTAATGAAGGTGGTGGACCTCTTGGCTGTCTAACTGGTTCAACAGTTTGAGAAGCAGTTTGCTTAGCCATTTGAGATTCTAATTCTGTAACTTTCTTTACTAATGTCTGGTTTTCAGTTTTTTGTTGCACTAGTGCATTCTGAATTGCTTTTTGCATATCTTCTAAAGAAATTGTATGCCCTTGCTGTTGAGGAGCTGGAGTAACTAGTAGTAAAGAATAGGATACTGGATTTATACTAGGTAAGGCTTGAACTTGATTGGCAATTTGACTTGATTCCTCTGGGATCCTTCCACTCAAATTTTGCCTGTGCTCTAGCCACATATTTTTTAGTTCAGTAAAAAATGCATTAATGCCTGCAGGATTAACAATTCTCATCCAAGTATAAAAATCGCCTGTTAAATAACTTTTAAGAAATCCCAAAACTTGTGCATCATTGTCTGCTACTCCTAATAATAGTGGTCGAATTTTGGCTTCATAGGTATCAGGAGTATCATAGGGCTGATATCTTTCTTGAGTTAATCTTTGAATAGCCGATTGTTGATTTCCAACAGTTTCTTGCTGATATTTTGCTCTCATCCAAGCCCATAATGTATCTGGAGAATTTATAGCTGGATTTCCTACTACAAGATTATTATTTGCTAGTACTGGAACATATTTTCCACCCATCATAGATTTTAAAATATTATACTTGACCGCATTGTCAAAATCTCCTGCATTTGCATTCTTAAGAACTGTCATATGCCCTTCAAGATATGCCCATGATTGAATAACTTTATTCAAGTAATCATCAGGTGGTTCTTGGCCTGTATAAGGTGGAAATTTTGCAAGAGCAGGAGCCATTAATTTTAATACCAGTAAACATCTAGCATCAGCCATATTTATTTGATTTGGTGGATTATTATGAAGCGCCAAAATTTGTTGCTGTAAATTTAAAATATTCTGGTGCTCTGCATGGGTCTTATTTTTCCATTTTGTATATCGCTTATAGAGTTTGTCTTTATTATATTCTAATAATCCCTTATCAGCTCTGCATTGTTGTAGGTGGTAGACATTTCACTGATACAATAACTGGAAAGCAAAATTTTTACATAGCAATTCACTAATATGGGTTTGTTTTCCTGCTATATTATTTATCATTCTATTTACCTGGTTTTGTGCATTAGTTCGCAACTGCTAAAAATCAAGCAATGCCTGATCTCGCTCCTGCCTGTATATATCTCAGTCTCATCGTACATTTACCAGATCTTGTTGTAGGTTAGTGTATTTACGTTGGATTGATCTTGTTGATCTTTTAATTTGATTTGTTAAAACAGTTCTATATATTACTGTATCATTTAGGGATCGGTCTATAGCATTGGCCAATTCAGCTATTGTTCCCATATTATTATCAGAATTATATAAGTCTAGAGAATTTTCATCAGAATCAGAATCAGATTCATTTTCATTAAAATTCTATGCCTGTGCATTTTGTAAAGCTTCTCGTGTATTTGTAAGTTCTAATCTATCTCGATATCTTAATAATGCTAAAGCA